CTTCCAAATCTGTTCCACTTTTTAGTCCCAGCAATAAGTGAAGTTTTGAATGAATGCACCAAAAGATAGAAGATTTAAATACCTTTGACATTTCCTTCATATATGCCAGCATTATCGATGCATTTAAGACTTTATTAGTAAGTAACTTCCTATTCATCCATGGAAACAACTTTTCATATGCTTGATAATAGGCTTTACTGGATTGAGATTTTACACCTACCAACGTTTGTTTAGATTTTACAACAAGCGATTTAATGGACGGTGTATTATCTTTTTCAACGGAAATCGTTTTATTCACGAAGACGACAATTTTTATAAGCAAACGTCAAGTGACATTTCCATGGCAATCGTGAAATTACGAACACCCAGCCCACTTAATTAGACATGTATTCGAGTGTAACGTTGATATGATTTCATTGAATTTTTAAATTCTACTGCAGGTATAATAAAAAATACTATAAGATACACGTGTATAATTAGTCTTTAAAGCACTTGCAACGTTAAAGGCACTCCGCTTTGCGTCGTGCCCTTAAACTCGTTGCGCGTGCTTTAAAGACTTGATTATACACTTGTATCTTAATATACTATTTTTCATAATTCCAAATAATGTATTTCCATAGTTACCCAAAATCAGTAAATCTTCTATGCAGAAATGCTACAAGTCATGTAAGAATTCGCTGCTTACAAGAGCCCTAGAGTTCAATAGTGGTATAAGACAAGGTTGTCCGTTGTCAAGGTTTCCTTGTTTCTATTGCAATCGAACCCGTCCTTGCCTTATTAGTAGGAAGTTGGAGAGCTAGAGGCACATTTTCTTAAACAGTTTTATTATTGTTGATTTTGGATATGAGTTAGCTATGCTAACAACATACTCAAACGTCTGGTAGCAATTTTGCGGATGGCGCGGCGCGGCGGTAGTAGTAGGCCGAAGATTTTGAAAATTCAAAAAGTTTTATTATTAATGAGCCTTGCTTTATTTTATTCTATACGTAATAGGGAATTGTCGCATTTATAATAGCATAAACGAGGACCATCACTGCCAGAAATTGGCGCAAAAGACTAGATCGTTGATTTTGATCCCGCCACGGATCCGAAGCCTAGACGCGGGCGTATTTTTTAATACATACAATAATGGCAAAAAAATAATTTTTTACGGCAACACATACGAAAAGGATTGTCGGTCCGGCAAGTCACCATTCCTATTGAAAATTTAAATCTGAAAATTTGCATACCAACACGGTCTTTTATGATGTATCGAAAGAAAATATTATCATGATCGTTTCACTTCCGGTTTAACCGGATGTTGCTAGCAACTTTCTTATTTTAAATAGAACGCCCTATATTTTATTTCATTTTCGAAATCTACATGAAAATCTACGTCGTTTGATACCACATTTCCCTCCACCCAGTACCAAAGGTTTTCAAGATTTTTGACGTTTCACTGCTTTTCTTTAGCGAAACGATCATGATAATATTTTCGTTCGATAGATCATGAAAAACTATGCTGGTTTGTAAATTTTCAGATTTAAATTGCTAATGAAAGTCTAAATACTTTTAGGTAACTGTTTGGGTGAAACAGCCTGTGTATAACTATCTTATATCCAAATATCGGTTATAGTAAAACTGTTTACGAAAATGTGCCACTTGCTCTTAAACTATATCACGTAAAGTGCTGGATGGGTGTTTGATTCACACGATACAAGACGATAAAGGGATATTTTAATCATTGAGTGAAAGATGCTTAGTTAGTTAGTTAGTAACTTTATTTTATAGCAGAAGCCATATAAATCATTGTAAAGCTTCTAATAATTTTGAATTTAATTTAGAGATGTCAAAAATTGCAAGCTTAGGTTCTGCCGTCGCGATCGTTTCCATAGAAACAGAATCGTCATATGTTCTGAACGTCATTTTATATCGTGCATTTGAAATAGGAATGGCGTATGTCATTAGAATGCACAATCATTTGTTTCACTTTATCAACCCCAACGGTTAGCATTTAAGCATTCCGTATAAGTATTTCGCACCTAGGGTGATGCGATTGATCCATTTAAAGTCTGCGGCCAATTGGATTGTAGTATTTTACCGATATTTTTTGGTTTGCGCATGCGCAGTGTCAAAAATTTGATTTAACGCATATGCAATGCTAACTTTTTTTTTATTTATGAACGCGTGTAAATCCTCATCATCATTCACATCATTCTTTGAAAAAACATCCAATCACATGCCTTAACAACATTGCTACCCTGACAATGCTTTATAATACCGGCCGTAAGTTTTTGTTAATAACTAACGCCTAATCTATAATTAGCAATGTTCCTCTTTAATGTTTAGAATGTTACGTTGTTGGATATTTGAATATATAATCAGCCCTGTCAATATCAGTAAAGTTAAATTTAACGTGCAGGTGAGCTGCAGAAAACGTTATTTTGCCCATACTAAACAGCGCAAAAAAACGTTATTTTTCTCTGAATATGCACTCAGGGTACATTTTTTTTCAATTTAGGGTATTCCCAAGGAGATCGAGATTATGTTGAAATTTTTGAAAAATGTTCTTAATATTGAAATGAAATTTAGTCTTATTTGGAAAATTACGCAAAATTCAGCAATTGTGCTTATCTATCTGTGTCAAGTGGAACTAGTACCTTTTTGTGATAAATTCTTTTGTTATATAGTTTTTTAACCATTTGAACATTTATTTACCATTTTAGCCGTGAAAACGGAAAAACACACATCTTACTAAACTGTGATGAACAACCAACAAATTTATTACAAAATAAAGCCTAAATTTTCTGCTAAAATGATGAGGTTGGTTTAAGTTTTAGTCCACTAGGTGTCAAAAAACTCATTTTCAATTGTTGTAAAGAATAGTATATTGAAAGACAAGTGTTACAATGCGACCTATTGTAATACGACTATCTTGTGGCACGAGTGGCGACGCGAAGCGTAGCCACGAGTGTCCGCAAGATAGGAGTATTACAATAAAGCATTGTAACACGCGTTTTTCATACTATTTTTTCTATTTCGGTGCTTTAATTTAATTAAAAAAATCATTGTCAGAAACTATAGGTAGAGAACATTAGAACTAACATGTTTTATGTTGGGAACACTTTTTATGCCGTTAAGTTTTAGGTTGGCAGCGTAGTAAGACTGACATTTTGAAGTTCAAACATGGAAGTACCCAACGAAGTACCTACTTGTACAAAATAGTAACTGCCAACTTAAGAGATGAGCTACCAAAAAAAAACGACTATAATCACTGTCTTTGTACAACTGTTTTCGGCCGAAAACAGTTGTACAAAATCATCATTGTGACACCGAAATAGAAAAAATATATTTCGCAGTTTGCTTTGCCTGCATTTAAACCTTATTTTGCACATATGTGTAGAATAAATTGCGATATTTATTTAGAAGTATAGAACTAGTATGAGTTGCACGTACAGGGTGGTTCATATTCGTGACTAGCCGTTGGGATCTCCGTAACTGAGAGAAATACAGTGTAGGTTTAATGGGTGCAAAGTTGCTCATTTTTGTAACTCAAAAAACGCATTTGAAATTTTTGAAAAATCTTTCACTTCTTCCGGAGAATCTGAATATTTTATTGGAATTTCTATAACACACTAGATGTAAAAGCTACATGATACTACTTTCTTATTTCTTATGGACGCCATATTGGATTTTTACGGAATGAGGTACAGGACAAAAAAGAAAAAGAAAATAAAAAATTATGTTCATTCCGCAAGATCTAGTTACCCGTGGATGTTTTGTTGAGAGATGACCGCAAAACATTTGATTATGAAATTTCCCTTGTAAATGTATGTAAAAATATACTGTAGCACGTCATTAGTTTTCTTCTTTTAAGCGCTTTTTTAAATATTTGACAATGCAATATAGAAACTCAGACAAAATGGGGAAAAATCGCTTATAATCTCTGAAAAAAACAGGAACTGAGTAATCTCTAAATGCTTGGAAGAACTCTTCCAGGAGACTTACTTATTCATTTCTCAACAAAGCATCCACGAGTAACTAGATCTTGCCATAATAAATACTTGATATATATCTGAAGGGTCCTTGAGAACCTTTGGCAAGTGTCTCAGACAAGGAGGTTATCTAAAAATATCTGAATAATCTCCAAGGATTTGTGGAAATTGACGAACATATAGGAAACCTATTGTCAGCCTCATCAATACTTATTCTTATTTCTTTACATAAATGTGCGTTGCCATTAAATATATTTTTTGAAAATTCTTTGTTTTTTAGTGGTACATATACAGACATACCCTTCTTTTATTCTCACAGTCGTTCTCCATCATAACTAAATATCTAGCATTCTTTATCCATTATGCGACGTGTATGACTTCGGATCGCACGTAAACATCTTTAATTTGGATCAGAGTGCCGTGATAGTTTGCTATGCCATTCCCCCAACGAAATTGTGGTCCATCCCTCTCGTGTAAAATAAGGGACAGGGACAGCACAACAATTCCTCCCTTTCGTGCAGGCTCTCGTTCAAAATCATTTCTCATATGACAAGAAAATGTTGCGAAAAACCACACAATGTTCCCATGTTTCTGTACAAAATAGATCACTAATTTGTCCTTAATAGTCTAGAAATCTAGATTCACAGTCAGTAGTACGAGCACGCTCCTCAATTGATGTGAATTTAATTAAAGAGAGTTAAGCACACTTCTAAAAGCGAGAAACAGAACGTTAACAATAGGTTCAAAAATTCAATTTCTATCAATATAGCAATAGCCGTCTCTGCCATTTAATGTCGAAGAAAAAAGAAAATCGAATTATAAGATTGTATTATCCTTCTGTTGAAATACATCAGTCTGATAAAATCAAAGGTATACGGCACGGATGTAACTTTTATCTGAAACTGAAAATACGAGAAGCGTCATGGTCTACAACGCAAATATGGATGGATGCTATCAGCAGATTAAATTTATGTCAACGTCTCTTTTTCAGAATTCTACACAAAATAAGAAAGAAAACGTACTTACAACGTCTATAAGTTGCGAAAGCCTTAATCCCATTTTAACAGTTAGACGGTCCGAATTATTGCCAACGGGTCGTATGAGGCGGTTGTAGTTTGATAGAAGGTCGTCGTACAAACGTTTTGCGTCAGGATTTCCAAAAACAGCCGGTAGTCCAAATCCTCCCAACATTATGCATGCAATCACTAATTCCATTGTGCGAAATCTGCAATTAAACGAAAAATTAGCCATTTTGTTCTAACATTGCGATTTTGTGATAAAGGGCTTAGTGGAAATAATTATCTGTTACATTTTTTTTAGTTCTATGGCACAGATTGATAAAGGCGCTCTTCGTTTGTTTAATTTGGGGTGATAATATTGTACTCCTACGTTTCCCTTTAACTCCCATGCATTTTTTGATACGCTATTATATTCGTTATGGCTGTCCGCCTGAGATTTCACCAATTCTAGTAGCTGGAGACTTCAAATTTTCACTAAAAGCTTTCTGCTGTACTGTAAATGTGCAGGCTCTACTCTATTTTGAGTTAGATTACTCGTGAGATCGTGCTTGTTTCCTTTTTTAGTGTCACCTTCTATCGTGAGCTAAAAGAAATACAAGTTTCTCTTCTTCGACTAGTAAGAGGATTTAGGGACCTAAACAAACGTTTAAAATAGTTGCCCCGTTATTAAAATTGTATGCTCCTACTTTATAGTTTGCTAAAATAATGAGCAAAAACCCCCAAACTTTGTACCAATATACGAAAACATAAACATTTGCAATGTTAAAATGAAATACCTACTCTTTTAAGGGACCACTGGACATTTAAAATTTTTGGCAAAGGCAACCAGATCAAATTTTATGAGGTAGAGGTGAATCGCTAGAAATGAGAAGCAATGCGGTTGCAGAGGATTATTTGAATAAGGATTTGGGTCGAAACCTATGGTAGTTTCTGCAGGGTTCGAGGCAGATATAAATTTGGAAATCATGTTAAATCTGCACAATGCGGTTCTAATAAGTGGGTAGAAGAGCTGTGTAATAATATGATTAATAAGGATAAAATTGATATGCCAAAGGTGAATGTAAGATTATACTTATGAGTGTACACAGGCTGTTCCATGCAAACCCTTACCTAAATGTTTTTAGGCTCTCGTTGATTATTTGCATACCAACATAGTTTTTCATGATCTATGGAAAGAAAATATCACCATCGCTTTACCTGCGGTTTTACCAGATGTGGATAGCAAAGTAAAACACCCTGTACTTTCGAAATCTACATGAAAATCTACGTTTGATACCACATTTCCCTATACCCAAAATCAACGGTTTTCAAGTTATTCACGATTTTTAAAAATAGTTGACCTTTGCTTTTCTTTTGAGTCCTGTACTTATGACTCCGTTGACTTGAAATTTTCCAAAATCAAAGATATTGACTTGATGCTACATGAAGAAGATTTAAGTTTTGATCAGCCTTCTACTGGGGGTTGTAAAATTAATTGCGAATTCTAATAACGTCAAACCGTAAAAAGCGGATTTTTTCAAATGAAGCATGCCTTATTTTTTTGTACTTTCAAATGTTGAAAACATTCCCTATACTTATTTGCTATGCTTTTGATTTTCTAAAATTGTGAGTGTTATGCATAATTTTCTTAGGAGGCCTGGAAATAAATGCGTTAGTATATATCATTGTACCAAAAAAAAATTCGAAAAACTGTCAAATTTTGACGAAAAAAGGTTATAACACCGGAATCGTTCAAGTTAGGACTTAGGAGTATAACATGTTACATAAAAAATAAGTACTTTTCAAGTACTCTCCAAATCAGTAATAAAATATGGGGTGTTCCATTTAAAAAATGCAAGTTTGATACGCCATTGGAATACAGCACGCCCCTGGTGATCAAAATGTGACTTTAGAAACTTGGCGACCGTAATTGTTTTCAATTTTGCTGTAAGACTTTTTTCAGTTTCTTTTATGGTAAAGGAATTATGATCCGAGAGATCTTAGGAGCTACACCCTGTACATATTTGAGATTTTAAATACGTCTATCTGCGTTCATAGGAATAAATTAACGCTATACTAATTGTAAAAGTTAGATCTATTTAACTTAGTGTTACGCTGCTTTGTTGAAAAACACACGGTCGCAATCAAATTGAAATACTGTATACAACCCTTTGTATGCGTAAACGTATAAAGAATTAATCATTATTATTTAAACGTATGCCTGCAAATGAAAATTTAATTGCCTACATTATTGCCACGTTACAATATTTCAAAATTACGTAATATTTGATTTTACGTTAACTAAATACCAATTATACGATTTCGGCTTAACAACTCATTTAATTCGAAGCTTGAATTTACGCACATACCTGCTGAAATAGTGGAATTCACTAGGAAGCCCTTAATTGACAATTATGACCAGTTGAATTATATTCGAAAGACAAATTGAGATTAGCGAAATGTGTAATATCGAAGTAAATGCGAGTGATAGGCGGTAGAGTAAGTCGATTATTTACTAGATGTAAAGAGTCCTGTAGCTGAACTTTTTAGCCTTTAAAAAATAGAATTAAAATACGAGAACGTAGCGTTCTACTGCGTACACACGTACAATATAATTGTATTACTTAGTAGCAGTGCTCGCATTTATTGAATTTGGAGCAGAAATTTCAATTTAGTGTCGCATCAGTTTGTATGTACCTACGCATTTAAAATTTTAGTAAAAGAACTGTAAGACATTACAACCAACTGTAAATTTACGGAGGCGCGTCTTAAAAAATGCAAGGAAAAGTAAATGTCCACAGAATTACTCACGGATCTAAATGGGAGAATGCCAAAAGCCATTCTATAATTTCATTTTGTTAACTTTAATTGTGTTTTAGGGTAACGAATTATACAGCTAAATCCTAATTAAGAATTTAAACGTGCCCGAAACTTAAACCAATTATTTTCAATTTCAAAACGCACAGGACGTTGCACGCAAGTTGTGTTTTTGACGTTGAATATGCCTGTATGAAAAAAGTAAAACAAAAATGCCAATAACCCACAATCATATATTACCATATCAAACGCGTTTCAACAGCGATGCTGTCGTTATCAGCGAACAACTGAACAATATATTACAAATACGACCCTATTTATACTAATTACAAGTGAAAGTGAAAGTTTACGAGCTCTGATTGTCCTAAAGGAGCTAAATTCATACTGTTTGCTGTAACGGCAGTAAAAGATACCATTTTAAATTTGCGGAGCAAGTTAGATCGTGAAATGTAAAATTGGTGCGATATTTTGTATGAATGTAGGTAAGACGTGGTTAGCAATTAACAAAATTACGGTACCCAGAGCACAGCGTTGAGAGGTTTTTGTAAAAGAATTGCCTTCGGGAATTAAAAAAGTTTGTGTGTGGAAGATATGCATATAAATACAGGCCCACCAATTAACGTCGCTGAAAAATGACGAAAGTAATTTAAAATGGCGGTTTGAATGCATTTCGATTGAATACAGCAAACATACGATTGATGGAAGATGAAAAAAACTTGGTACAAAAAAGAGTTTCTGTTTCTGTTTGGGAATGGTAAAACCTAACCTTGTCATACATAAGCAAAATATAGGTATAAGATAGTATTGTTGCTGTGGTTAGCGATGAAATCAAACAACAAATACCTCTTGAGCTTTGATCAAAAGAATGAAGTGCCTACATACATTTCGCAATCATTACAAATCATTGCAAAAGTGAAACAAACACATTAGTAAACCACAATAATATATTAAAAATTTCCAACTCGTTTCAACGGCAAGGTTGTCATCATCAGCGAAGAACTGAACATTATAATACAAATTCTTCCCCACTTATATTGAGTATAAGTTCTGATTGGCCTAAAGGACCTCCTTCATCATTATTCATTAGGAAGTGTTTGTTTCTATGAATATTTAAACTTTCAAACAACCTTACTTACATGACTACTACTTAACCACGCAAATATTGTCAAATATATTGCTGTGTAAACAATGTCAGTCAGGACGTTGTTTTTGTGGTTAGACATTTGAAATGAATTCAGGTGCCTAATTGTCAAATTGGTCATCAAAATTTTGTTTTCTCTGTTTAAGATCGTGTCTATTAAGTTTTAACACAAAACAATTTTCCAAATCGAGCGTGCAGTCATGTATTGTTTATTTTCTGTATACTCGTAAATGATAAGAGATTCCCTACAATTGTTCGATTAAGGGATTGTTGTACCTCATTTTTATTTGATATCAAGATGCTCATTAATGCAAATGTGACTGTTTGGATGTGTTTTATTAAGTTTTCCGGATATTTGAGTTAAAGGTAATTGTTTGAGATAAGGTGGCGTTTTTAATCTTTAAGTAAAATGGTATTATTAGGTAGATATTGTTTAATTAGATAAGAAGTCCATTTTAACAGGACAGCGTTGGTTGTTTTTTTTTATCTTGTGGGTGTAAAATAAAATTTTTCAGTGTAATTTCACGCTAGTTGTGTTAATTCGGACCTTTTATTAACGACGAATAGAGAATTTTCATGTTCAAACTACGATTGATTTTATTCGATTCTCGCCCAAAGTACATTTTAAGTGTCAAAATTTAGTAACGATCCGTTTGGAATTTAAGGATTTTAATCTTGCCCACTATATGCCGAGAAGTAAAAAAAATTGACGCCAGGATTAAATCATTTTTCTGTATCAGGGTGAGGATCTGTACCGGGAAAAGTTGTCATTGAAGAGATAGTTAGGTTTAAAGAGTGTTTTGTGTATGGTGCTTGTTGGCCTGAGATCATTGCACACAGCATTTTTATTTGCTCGCCCATCGTGGGGTATTGCAGTATAGCCAAGTCAAAGAAGGGGGTGTGGCGTGCGTGAGCAGGGACCTAGCTAGCGAGCATAGGTGAGGGAGTGGGGAAAGGTACAATTTTTGAGTTTTCCGCGTGTATATTGAAAACCCCTTTATCATATGGGAAAATGTTAAATGCAAGTTATTCTCACCACAATAATAGCAACATTTGCACGGAAAAAAATGATTTTCAAATTTCTTTTCGCGATATTGATGAAATTGTCGATTGTTCTTATTGAAAATTTAGTATCAACCGTGTCTCCCGCAGTTGTGGTTAATGATTATTTATATTGTTTAAACAATAATAGCAACATTTACAGAAAGGTTTGATTTTCTAAGGGCCGGTATTATAAAGCCCGCTTGAACGGAGATTGGCGTTCAATCG